TGAGTTTAACCAAGATCCTTGTAAGTTGTGTACTTTTTCCGTAAGTTTTCCCATTATTATTTTCTTCAATGTATATTTTTAATGAGTTTTTGTGCATTTCACAAAGTACATCTTAATTATATTTAGACCTCTGCTCCTGTCTGCACCCCCTGTAGCCCTCATACCAGATTTTATGCATTCTGTCATATATACTAAGGCTTATCAAGTCACGTTTGTGTCCCCCAGATGTGAGTTCAACCACTGAAGCCTGGTCAGCCTAACTAGTGTTACTCACTTAAATAAGACTAACTCTCCCTAACCCAGCAGCTGTCAGTGGTTCCTTAGCCAAGTTTGGGGCTTCTTATCCATTTTCCCATTTCTATGCTTGGTTTTTATCTGTTTTGAATTTACACGGGCCAGGTGCATGCTGTCAACATTGCAGTAGGTTCATATGAATAAGTTCTCAGCCACCTGGAAAACTGTTTCCTTGTGGTCATCTACCACCTCTGGATTGTACAATCTTTCCACCCCCTCTTCCACTTCAGGGTCCCATGTAGTCCCAGCAAGACCCTATCACACTTATTCTTCTTTGTGCTGATTGCTAATCACTTCTTTCCAATGATACTCTAAAAGGCATGAATAGAATGAGCTTCCCATCTTGCCCCTTGAGCTATGCTATATTTATTGCTTAATAAACAAAGGAAAAGAAAATGTATATCATTCAATTTCTAGTCAGCCACTAAGTTAATGTTAATGGGATAAAATTGGTAAATATGAGTGCTAAAAGAGATGCAGCTGAAGGTCATTAGGATAGGAAGATCTCCTTTAAGCAACAGTGAGATACATGTCTCTCAGCATGTGAAACAGAGACACATAGCCACAATTACTAGGTTTAATTAAATCACACCTCTAATATATGCTAAAGACTGGAAGCTGAAGGTGTTATCTCCCAAAGCTTCCTAGATCTTTCTATGGAGAAGATGCTCTGGTATTCATTAACTATACTTTAAAATTATCTCTTAAATCCTGAAGATTAGAAGAAGAGCCTACAGGCTTATAACTGAATTATTTTGTTCCTTTGTTTTCCCCAAATAGCCTCACTTTTTCCAAACATAGATGAACTTGTTTTTATTAATCATTATTTTAATCTCAGACAGAAAGAGTGAATATAAATCATTATGAAAACACAGACCACTAAGTGAAATCATCCCTTAAAGTTTTGTGTGAGACTTTTGATTCTTCAACTCACTGTTTCCCTAATGGTGGTCTGCGGACATCTGAGATTTTAAATATGAATAAACTAGATGAAAGATCACACTCCTAAGTATGTATCACTTCTTTAAAAATAGCTCATTCTTAAAAGGTGCTTGCATTTTCCTTTTACTTTCAAATGTAAACTGCTTTATAAAAAATACTGAATAGCTTTGGGCCTTTAGAAATTCTATTATTTCTCTTGATTTCAGGATTATAGAAGGAATTGACTAGCAAAGAAGAACTATTAAAATGTTTCTTTTGTCATAATTTTTCTTGTAACTTCATATTCTATAAAATTTTTAATGCCTGCAGAGACATGTTTGTGTGACGTTTCTCTTTACTCTCATCTGCTTTCTCTTTATCATCTCTGGTAGACCTTGTGTGTATGGTAATTGACCATGAAGGCTACAGCGAAGAGACCTCAGACAACCAGGGAGTAATAGAAGTCCTGGTAAGATGGCAGTGAGTTATAGATGGACTTGAGGGATCTCTGATTGCTTTGTTCCACTCCCCATTGTAGCCATGTTGAATAAACCTTTTAAAATTGATTTGGCTCTTTTAATGAGCTTATCAAAGGTAGGGTGGCCAAAAATCAAGGGTCAGACTTTTTCCAGAATCCAAAACGATGTTCAAAGGCTAGTTTTTCTTCTTCAGCAGATAGAATTAAAAACCAGCTGGTACTGGCTGAGGCAGGAAGATATAAACCGTCCCTGAAGATGACTCCAGCAGCTACTGGATTCCCTCAATCTTCCTCTCCATCTGGAGTCAGCTTGCTGAATTTGAATCTGGGGTGGTAGCAGATACCCCAAAATGTGCCCTTTGTCTCAGCTGGTCACAGCCTGTGCTGCAATAAGCCAGATTTCCCCAAGAATCTCTTGCTGGAAGAAGAAAAAGCAGAAGTTCTGAGGGTAGCCAGAGAAGGAACTTGGTTTCTGGAGAAACATTTATAGCTTGTCAGAAGATGTTGCCAGAGGCTGGAGCAGAGACAATGATGGTGGAGGAGCTCACAGTGGTTTGACTGCATAGTTACGCATATCTTTCGCCTTCTTTGTGAACTCTGCTCTCACATCAGGACCCTGAAAATGGACTGACCTCTCTGTCCCCCTTCCCAATGTGGCCACATTGAATAATCTCCTTTCTTCTGATTTTATTTATTAAAAAAAAGAACAAAAGAAGATGACAAGAAGAAGGTTCATTCAAGATATTACATCTTCT